TTAGAGAGCATAGGGAAATGGAACATGTACCCTTAGTTGTTAACCCACACAACTGGGTCACAAGGCTCTGAAATTTGTCTCCATCTGACAGCAGACGAATAAACTTCTTGCCAAGACAACATAGAGCGGCCAGATGATCGATCTTCTAGTGAGGCATATCCAGTTGAAGTTTCACTGGAACTGCTAGTACTACACCCAGCACCACCTCTATTCTGGCTAAGCATGTTGATTCTCTCTCTCCTACGGTTTTTTTTCCCACTTTTTGCCGTGCCTTTGTTTAAATTTCTCCACTCTATGCGCCAAGCTTTTGAAACCTTTTGAGCAATCTCTATCACAGCCAATCCTGCCATACGATGCTGGAGAATCACGGAAACATAAATGATCAATGGAATATAATTAATGATAGTTTAGCCAGGAGAGGCTTGATAACAGGCACAAATAAAACATTATATGCATATTCGCGTATAGAGGGGATATATATAGATGCAACAGGGACCTTCTCTGAAAAGAAAAAAGAGAGGCTTGATAATATAGATCCAAATTATTGCTATATATATAGATCCAAATTATTGCTTAAAGTCACCTGACGTCTATTCGGTAAGAATCCGGGACAATCATATTGGATTTTCTTGCCAATGAAATCAGCGAAACGAAGAAGATGCGCCTTCTGTTTAGTGATTGCAAGATCTTGCTTTTTCAGTTTACCCTTCTTGAGGGATTCACGCAGGGGAGGTTGTCTGTAAACCTTTTCACATACATCTTTTGGGTGTAATCTTTTGCACCAGTACTCCTGAAAGCCCACAGGAAAAGAAAAGTCACATTCACCAAATATACGAATGGGGAAAAGGGACAGTGCGAAAGCTCAAGGGGCTCTAAGCTCTGCTTTCGCACATCCACATACAGACTTAATAGTGAAGTCACACTTGGAAGACATTTATATTGACAATTCCAGCACATTAAATATACAAGTTTGTTCCCATGTTTTTTTTTGTTCTGAGTTCCCATGTTATATATATGTCAAACATCAGGTACTTCTTTGACACTCGTTTTCTTGGCTTATCTTTGAGCCTATGTTTATTCTCATTGGAATAAACTAATCAGAAAAGAGCAGACAGGTAAAACAAAGAGAAAAAATATCGAGAGAGATATATCACCTTGAACATTGGATCTATGTCACCATCAATATCAAAGCAGAAAAACTCACTACTAACTTTGGAAGCCGTGTACAAGGCAATCTCTTTCTGCGACATAAAAAGGATACCATAAATATTTATAGTGAAAGAAAAGTTTAGCACTGCTACAAATAAAGCATCCAATATTATTACGTACAAGGAGGTTTTCATTTTTCAGGACTAATTATAAGTAAACAAATTAGCATTACTATCAGATAACTAAGGCCATGCTTTTAGAACATAGCAATTCAATATCCTATCATTACAGATTGCTACAAACAATAGTGTAATAACATTCCGATATTGAGCTTTCAATCCACGCAACCTCTGGGCTATTAACAAAGAAAACATATTTTGGAACCTGATAGAATGCCAAGCATTGAAGAACAAATTTTTCCACTGCATCAAGTTCCACATCCACTGTAGCATCGTAGTCCTTCACCTGTGATGATATGCAAGTAATAATAACATAGTCTCCTTAAAAAATGCAATCATAATTTTTTTTTTTTTTTTGGGTTCAATGTTACGTAGCATAAGCTGAGAAAAAATATTTAATTATTTACCGCATCTTTATACTCTCCTATAGCATGATAGCAGGAACCTCGTAGGTACAAGCACTCTATTGAGTTCTCAATGCTCAAGCCAACAGATAATTCTTGGATAGCCTTCCTGAGAGGTAAAATTACCAAAAACAGCTACATGTGAATAATAATATAATATCACTGCTTTAATGACCAGCCATGTACATAAATCCCAAGGTGATTATGACCACCAAACTTATCAGCTTCCTTTAGAACACTCTTTTGTTAAACGTAGATCTTTCACCACCAAGAGTCAGGAGATAAGAATCTTATTGGACATCATATTTGAAAGTAGACATTGAGATATACTTGGGTCACTCAGGACATGTTACATGCAAATGAACAAAGACATATTTTCCCCTTTAAACCAAATTTTCACTTTCCAGAAATCCTACTCTTCAGTAACGGTACATACCTGTGTTCACCTAATCCATGGAACACTAATCCACGCAAGTGATAGGCCTTCCAAACCCTGGTCAAGACAAGAAAATCTTCCATGACTACAATGGCAAAGCGAGAAATATAGTGCAACATGTGATAGTGCATCCCAAGTAAGAGCTACCTGTTGTCGACTTGTAGAACCTGCTCAATGCATTCCAAAGCTTTGCTATGGTCGGCCAACTCTTGATAGAACTGCCAAGAAAAGCCAGGAAACAACATCAAGTACAGTGATTAAAAAAGTGTTAAGTGTATCATAGTCAAGTCAATTGATTCAAGCAAGAAACTATGATGGGCCAACTAAATTAATGAGAAATAACCTCATTTTCCAATGGCAAACAGAAGTTTCTATCAGGAAAACCTTAAAGTATTTGCCTCCAAAAGTCAAATGTAAGTTTTCTTTATTTGAAGTCTCACTAGCTTTCCAGAGAACTAACTTCGTTTATTCACAATCACATGCATGGAAACCCAGATTTTTAATTTTATTATAAAAAAGGACAATGCCCCAAAATCCCATTTTCACAACAGTGAAAATTCAATAGAAAACGCATAATTTTACATATTTCAGTATTTGTGTGTTACCTGGGCGAGATGTAGCCATGCTTCAAGATAATTATTATCCAGCTGGATGGACTTCAAATGCGCCTCTTCAGCTTTTATATATTCACCAAGAGAAGCAAAAGCTAGTCCCTAGAATGATTAAGAAATTTTTACTAAGAAAACATTTGTGGTCACAGTTACTTTAGAATCCAAGAATAACAACAGAAGATAGTCTTACCAAATATGTAAATGCGGACTTGTTATCTTTCTCTTGCTTCAGACATATAGAGAGGTCATTTACAGCAGCAGTGAAGTCCTTAGATCTAAAATTAATAATACCTGAATTGATTGAGAGTCAGTGGTACTTTATGGGGTTTCACCAAAGAAAATAGGAATTAATAAATCAAAACTGAAATTGGCAGCAAGATGTAAAAGGAAAGAGAGCATAAAGACACTTACCCCTTTCGTGCAATATATCAGGTGAGTTTTGCTCAAAAACCAGTGCTTTAGTCAAATCTTCAACCGCCTATCAACAAAGGATAGCTTAAAAGTATGTAAAAGAAACGTTTCTCTATTTTTACCAATAAAATGCAAGCACTAAACAGGCGTAAACACATACATCAATTAGAGGCTTATCCAAATTATTGGATATCAATCAGAAGATCTTATTTATCAATCAATAAATGTGCAGGGTGAACAGGTGAAGAACCCCATAAAATACATTATTTATCTATGCTTTTAGAGGAATAAAGAACAGAAGCAGAGAAGACGTGGAACCACTAACCTCTGCAAATTCCCCAAGAGCAGCACGAGCCTGTCCTCTCCGTTTCCAAGCCTCACCTGCTGCTGGGTTAGATTGAATAGCCTGACCATCATCATCATAGGAGCAGAATTGGTGAACTTAACCCACAATAGTAACAACGCTTGTCAAATAACGAATACCTTAGTAAAATCAGCTATAGCATTTTCAAGCTCTCGTTGGAATGCATAAGCTGTCCCTCTTCCTATAAGTGCCTCAGGGTAAGTCGGTTCTTCTTTCAGCACCTGTACACAGATAAACTAAATAGTAAAAAAAATTGACCCATTCATTTCTGCCAAACAACCTCCAAGGTGGTAGAACAGAGAATAGAAAAGCAAAAGATACTCGCCAGAGATAAAAATCACCAAAGAGGAGTACATGACAAATCACCTTATCAAAAATAGATATAGCTTTCATGTAGTTTCCTTCGTTCACCTATTGACAAAATAAGAGCCCAGAGATCAAGAATTTGGAAGCTGTACCTCAACAACCAGTAAGATACAACATAAAACGCCCTTTTCTTATCTTTGTAGTATTGCTATACCTGTGCAATGCCTCTAGAAAGTCGAAAATCCACACTTATAGAATGGGTTTCTGATATTCTCGCTATGGTGTACTTCTTATTTATCTTGCTTTCATCGCCAACTCCACTACGTGCCTCAGCTTTAAGGCTCAGTTTACTAATAGATCCGGGCTTACTACTTAACGTGTTTCCAATAATCGACAGACCCCCAAACCGATCAGAACTTTCAGATAAATTATCATGCGGATCAGAACCATTACATGGTTTACATGATTTGTAAGAACCATTGGTTTGGCTGCCAGACTTTACATTCTCTTTTTCCTTGTACGCTAATCCATTACGTAAGTCGAAACTACCACCAGATTTCTTGCTTGCCTTGGATGCATCCTTTGAAAGACAATTTATCTTTGATTGCTCACCCAATTGCCTGGATGACTCGACGGTGTTTCCATTGCTGCATGCTCCTGATTCAGAAACTGCCACGCTTGATATATTATCACTTGTCCCAAAAACCGTATCATCCGGCTTGTCAATTTTTTCATCAGACTTCTCACTAGCACGTGATCCTAGAGACGAGGCAGGGGTCTCTTGCCGGGACTCAGTATCATGATGTTCGACAGTGCCATGAATTGCTCGTCTTGCATCTTTCAGGAGTTCTTCTAATTCAAGTAGCTGCTTCACGTCTGCTGTCTGCTGCAAAGCATTTTTAAATCCTTGCTCCAAAACAAAACTGGCGTCCTGTTTTCTCCCTAGAGCCAAAAGAGCGCGTCCTAGATGGGAAAACTGATACACTTGAGTTCACGAGCAGTATAACAATCAAAGAAAAAGAGTACCCACCACACCATGATTCAGTAACCATCGAAAAAATTCATCCCCGGTTGTATATATAACTTAACATAAATTTTCAAGAACAGCGCTATTCGTCTACCACCAAAGCGGTTCTAATCTTGTAAATTCATGAGATTCATAGCAAGAACACCATGATTTAGTAACCATCGACTAAACCCCTGATTTTTGTTCCGAAGCTATCTCTAGAATAAGACTCTGAAGCACTACTCGAAGCTTGGAAGTGAACTAACTAACCTTTGAGTATATAAGCTTGAATGACACAAGGTTCAAGCTGGAGTGCCTTGTCACAGTCTTTTATCACGTGCTTGTGAAGCTCCAATTGATTATAACAAAAAGCTCTATTGCTGAAAAGAAAATTGAGATTAACGATTAAAAGAAACAGAATCAAAAGGCACCGATCCGAGAGAAATTGAAGATCGCGGACCAACCATATGTCCAAAATGGAGCACTGCTTAGCAAGGAGCGAATCAAGAACTCGGATCGCTTTGGACCAGTTCCGTGAACTGCAGTGCTTGGCTAATTCGATTCGTTCAGGTGTCGCCGTCGCCATTTGCCGCGCACAAAAGCGAACCAAGGAGCGTGTCTCCGATGGTGAAATCGCCTAGTTTTATCTTTTCTCTTTGTTCGTGGCCGTCGTGACTCTCAGGAAAGATGGGTAAAAGGGTAAAGCGGGAAATAACAGTGGAGAAAATGGCAAAGAGAGAAGACTTTGACGGAGAGCGAAACGGGGAAGAAAATAAAGTAACGGGGAAGAGAGAGAGAAGACGATGATGGTGGTGGTGATGGTGTGGTTCCTGGGCAATAAGTGGTGGAAATCGAATTTTGGGGGAAAAGAGTGGCACACGTGTGAAGCTCCCCGTCACGTGACTACCCAAAAGTTTTTGTGCATAATGGGCCAGCCCACTTATCATTACCAGTTTAAATGGGCTAGCTCAGTAAACTGTGTTAACCCGAAAACCGAATTTAATTGGACCTAATCTAGACCGATCGTTTATACAATCATTAACAGTGTTTATTAAACTTTAAACTAACACATAGGGTTCACATATTATGTCCCGTTAATAACGTGTGTAATATGGATGGAATATACACGTTTTCTTTACCGTCTAAGATTGTGTACCATTTTTGTCTTATCAAAATGGTTACAACTGGATAGCCCATACCGGCAAAATGCTAATATTCTCAATCATTTATCGGTATTGAAAATTTGACATGTAATGGAGAAACATTTTTTTTTTTGTGTGTGTGTGGAGAAGCTGATAAAAATCTTCCGCAAACTTACGTACTGTTCACACATAGAATAGCACAACGACACTTGAAATAATTGACTATGGACCCCAATATCACGAACTTTCAAGGTTACATCGACATTATAATGAGCACAGCAATAATTGAGGTGTCGAGCAAAGCTGGACACAAAAGACAAAAGACTTCTCGTTAAAAATAAAGATAAGAACAACAACGATCATACATAATCCAAGAGAAACGAATCAGAACCAAACGACAACGAAACGATATTCTCAATATGACAGACATATCACATCAGATATATAATTTTTTCGATTATTTATTTCGTTAAATTTAATTAAAAAAAACTTCTCATCAGACAGCGATGTCGTTGCGAATGTGACGGAGGAGGACGGGAATGACAGAATCCGGCGAGCTAAGCTGAGGAAGATGACCATCGGAAGGAATAACCTCGACGACGGATTCGGATCCGAGATTGGTGTGAAGATACTCGGAGACGACGACTGGTACGGCTAAATCCTTAACGCTTTGGAGGATGTGACAAGGGACAGCGACAAAAGGCAAGATCTGTCTCATGTCGCTTTGGAAAATGGTCTGAGCCACGGAGAGCGCTATGTCAGGACGCATGTTGAAGAGCGTTCTGCTGAATTCTTGAACGGCGACTGAGTCTAAGTCGCCGCCGACGGCGAGTGGAGCGAAACCTAAGCACCACGCTTTGTAATTGCTTCGCATCGCTTCGAAGAGCTGGTTTAGGTCGTCTTGCTCGAATCCACCTTGGTAATCAACATCGTTCACGTATCTAAAACGCATCACAAAATCATATGTAAAATACATCGATTAAACTAAAAAAATTTGAGATTTTTCTAGGTGTACTGATCTTAATCAATAATAATATGTTGAAAAGGTACCGGTTTTCGGATTTGAGATAAAACCATTATATTTTCCTTTGCCGGAAGGAACTATGTCCGAACTCAGAAGAAACTATAATAACACACAGTAAAATCCCATAAAAGAATCAAATAAAAAAATGGGTATTTCTAGGTTTCCTGGTTAAAAAATCATCAAAACTCACGGATTTTTATATTGAAAAAAATTGTAATATAAGATAATTCAGACAAGAGAAAGAACAGAGAGGCCCTTTGTCGAACTCTTGTCAGAAGAAGATTATAAAGTAAATAAAAACCCAACAAAATCTCTATGAACCATCCATCATCAAACTCGAGTATTACGGAATTCAGGATTTAATTGATCTTGTGAAATCGGATGAAGAATCTGTATATATTATAAAAAAAAAAATACCTTGGGGAAGCAGAAATCATGACGATTTTGGAGAAGAGATCAGGTCGGTTAAGAGAAGCCAAGACACCGACCATGGCGGAAACAGAGTGACCAACAAAGATACAAGACTCGATTTGAAGATCTTCCAAGATTGCAATCAAATCGAAAGAGAAACCTTCGAGAGTTGAGTAACGATCGAAGTCGAAATAGTCAGGGTTGGTCGTACCGGCTCCCATGTTGTCGTAGAGCACGATGCGGTAATCATCGACGAGATGTGGGACCAGGTGTTTCCACACTGACTGGTCCGTGCCGAATCCGTGACCCAATACGATCGTAGCTTGATTTCCTGAGCCAATCACCTTCACGTTGTGAGCTTCCTCTACTACACCCATCTCTGTTTTTCTCTCTCTACACAACACAGTGAACACACAATTCTTCTCTCGTTCTCTTCTTGTAAACTCTTATAAACTTATTAAGGAAATTACGATAGAGTATGTTTTTGTTTTAAAGCGTTTGGTTTTTTTTTTCTTTCTTTTTTTTTTGTGGAAGAGGAATAAATTCCGAGATTTCTATGAAATATCGCGTTTTATAACTGGAAAAGACAAATAGTAACTGGAACCCGATGTTTGTTGGATTGTCATAAATCGCATTTTTTTGTAATTAATCCCGAAATATGTTGGAAACTGGAAAGGATATACACGAGGGGGAACTGTAACAATTTTGATGCATAAAGATGTGCTCATTTTCTTCCTTTATGTAATCAAAAATTTATACAGACCAAGTTTTTTTTATACAGACCTAGTTTACTGGACGATATAGTTATAGCACATTTGAAAAAATATAGTTTTGGTCTTTTTTGAATGTTAATTTTAAAAGTTAGTCAAAGTCTTATAATTATTATATTCAACTACATTTGTTTTATATGGTGAAGGTTAAAATTTGGCATGTATAAAGACTGCAATAAATGTAACATCTTAAAACCACATATTTTTATTTTCTGCTCAACTAACTTAACATTTAGCTAAAGATCTTTGTTTCTTTGTTTTGCGAAGTACCACATCAATTGGTTAAAAGAAGTACAAGTTACTGGTTGAAAAAAGGAATTACATACTATAAACGTTCAGAAAATATTAGTGAAAGAAATTGTTATGAAAATGTAAATAAAAACATTTCTCACAAACTAAAATATTAGAGGAGGCATAAATTAAAATAATAGTTAGGCTAATAACGAAAAAACTGCACGGTTCTTGTTACGTAGAAGGGCATGGTGAGTATGCGACCACGTATCACATCGAATTCACCATTGTAAGTGTCGATATCCGTGAGAGGATTGAGGCCCATTACTAATATTCAAGGCCCATTCTCATCTCAAGTCATCTTCTCTCTCTCATTCTGTTCAGTGTTAGATGAGCACATGATGACGTGGCAAGAAATCTGTATCCCACGTGTCCAAGCCGTGCCATTATCCTTCCCACCCCATATTAAAAAAAGCACTCTAGTGGTCGAAGTCCGTCTAACACCTAACAAAAAATTGGAGATTAATTAGAGATTAGTTTTTATATTTATTTTAATTATTTTAATTATTTTTTAATATTTATTCGTTTTTAAAGATTAATTAGATTTTACCTCGTGTATCCGTACGAGAATTTTGTTTTAATCAAAATTTGTAATCTAATTTATATTTTTCTATAAATATAATTTTTTAATAAGTGATACAAAAAAATTTGTGTTTAGATTGTTTTCTTTTATTTTTTTTCAGTATTATTATGACCACCATGATCATAAAAACATAATTTTAACACAGTTATTTTATTAATTAAAAAGTAATTGTTATTATAAAAGTATTTTTTTAACTCGCTTATTTTATTAATCCAAAAAAACTATGATTATGAAATCATAATTCTAACCCGTCCGTTTATATTACTTTATAATAAAAATATTTACTAATTTTAAAATAATTTTCTCTTAATATCTTGCATGGTTTGATAACTTAACCCGCATAAAACCATAATTATAAAAAAATATTAACTTGTCCCATTAAATTATTATATAATATTAATATTTATATATTTTCAATATGTGAAATTTTAATCTGATAGAATATAATTTAAAAAATATAATAAGATATTTGTTAATTATATGTGTTATTCTGAAAATATTATTTAAATTTTAAATGTTAAATTAAATTTAACTTATATTTAAGGAAGTCTATTTTAATTAATATTTTTAAATTATAGATATAACTTATATTTAAGGAAAGTTTTAGTTATCTAAATTAATATCTAATTTTTTGAATTAAATTTATATATATAAAAAAATATTTTTTAAAAAGTTTTTGAAAATGTTTCGAAACACACTAAAAATGTTTTTTTTAATATAATAGATTTTATTATATTAGAATATGTATAAACTAAATCTTATAAATATGCATAATGGTAGATCTAAAAGACATACTGGTGGATTGAGGACCTATATTTAACTCAAATCCATAAACTAAATCTTTTATAAATATCCATCTTTTTAATGGGCCTGTAGTAAATTCTGGGCGCAATTGGGTTTGATATGAGGCCCGAATAGTAGTAAAAAGTCTCCGCTATTTAGATAAGTCAATGATTTTTTAAAAATAATCGGTGATTAGTCGGGAGAAAATCTGTTACCGTCTTACCAGACCGCCCAGCCTATAATCGTGGCGGCATGCCTCTGATCCGCGCCTAGACGACCGATTAATCGGCGGGCGATTTTTCGAACACGGTTCCCACCTGCGTAGTGTTTGTTTCAATGGGAAGGAAATGACGACTTTCGCTGGACTGATACGACGGCGTTTTGGCGCATCGATTCCGGCTCAACTGAACTACGGATTCGTACCGTCGCGTCTTCTATTCAACCCGAGTCAAGGAAGGATTCGGTTGCTCAGCGGCGAGGCTGAGTCGGATCGGGCTGAGTTTCCGGTGGAGAACGCCTACGATATCTTGAGTGTCTCCGAATTCAGCTCAATCGCAGAGATCAAGGCATCATTTCGCAGACTCGCCAAGGAGACTCATCCGGACCTGATCGATTCGAAGAAGGATTCATCTACTTCGATACGTTTCGTTCAGATTCTCGCTGCTTATGAGGTACAATGTTTAATTGAAACAAGTTGAAGACATGGAGGTGTTTTCACAGTCTGGAGCAAAAATGACAGAAAGTCTCAGGCTTTTGCGATAGACTGATACTTATAGCTTTCGCAAAGTGTCTAATGAGTGATATGATTTGTGGTGATGATGCAGATTCTTTCAGATTCTGAAAAGAGGGCACACTATGATAGATATCTGCTTTCCCGGAGAATGATATTGACGAAACATTCTAAAGAAGGGTATATGCTTTACAGGACTAAAAAAAGATTGACATTGAGTCAAGAGATGGAAGTGGTTGAATGGCTAAAGTGGTATAGAGAAGCAATACATGATATAGTAATGGAGAAGAGAGTAGCAAGCGGTACAGGCTACTTAGATGAACTGGAAGAAGATTTTTATTCAGCAATCCGGGCAGCATACTTTGGGCCTGACATAGACTCTGTGGAGCTTCTTCCTGATTGTTTTGAAGCTGAGGAACGGTCTGTGTATGATACACGAGAAGTTTTGCACTTGGTATCAGGACGGGATCTTTTCGGCATGGTCTGCTTGGTAGATAACTTCCTTGAGCTGTCTCCTGCCTGCTCCAAGAAATTGGCTTTGTCGTCGTTTATGGATTCAGACCTTGGTCAAGCTGTTGAGAAAGGCAATTTTGACATGATATCTGATGAAATAATTGGTCTTCAGATATCTCATATACAATCCTCAAGAAACAAAAACCATGTTTCGGATGCATATAAAGATATTCAGCTGCATGTATCTGGAAGAGTTGTTGCTACAGCCATAAGGGTTCCCCCGAAAGGGTATTTCGAAAAGAAACAAAATGAGAGTGATCACGATCACATACACGTTTTCCTCAATTCAGATGAAGGATCTAATTCTGCTACTGAATCTTCTCCAAGAAATGTAGGTGGAGCCAGACTTCTTGTTGGAACTGTAACTGGTCTTGGGACAAGTCCAGATGAAGGTTCATGTTACGTCTATGATGAGAATGGTGCTAAGACTCATGTGATAATGAAACATAGAACATTTCTGGTTTGTGACTCGTATGATCTTGGCTTTAGTACATCTACTTTTTTCGGGGCATTGTTCTATGATGCATATAAAGTGTAGCCCCTTTAGTAATTGGATGGAATAAGCATGTATGTGTCTTAGAATTTGTTATTAACACTCTACAGGTGAGACATTTGCACTGGTACAGGATTGGGGAAAAGGTTTCTGTTTGCGAGTGTAGATGCAGTAGAGCAAAACTACCACCAAGCAAGTACGTCAAATAGCTTATTTGCTTTATTTATGTTCAATATAATGGAAGGGAATAGGTTGTGCTTTGGAACATTGAAACCCGAAACTATAAAGAAGTCATGTCTACAAACAGTTTAATTGGTCTCATCTGTCGTTGCTTTTTTTTCTTAAATGCCCTGGTAGGCTTATTATTGGAAATGTTATGATGCTGATCTCTAACGAAACCTTAGCTTTCTTACCTCAGTGACATGAAACCATAATTGTGTGAATACGGAGACAGGTTTTGGTTGTTTGAGCCTCGTTGTGGCTTGCATGATGTTGGAGGTTGGTATATTGAAACTTTTGGAAAAGATAAAAAGGGCCGGACAGTCCTTGCACAAAGATTCTGGGATGGATTGGAAGTGGGCGCTACACTGGATGGGTAAGGTTTTATATAGGAAAGGAGACTTAGGTATCAGTTCCAGAAAGAGGTTCTTGCATCCTTGTGAAACTGCAAAAAAATTATTGAGAATCTTCCTGCATTTCGTCTCCATGACCTTATCTTCATAAAAGATTATTTATTTACATGATAACCTTCAGATAACACGATGTATTCAAGTTTTTGTACTGTAATGTTATCAGACTTATTCTTGACTTTAACCTTCTTCAGGAGACTGCACCCTGGTATCTACTTGCTTACACTAGCTTATCGAACTCTTGATCTTGAAGATGAAAGGAGAAGAAAACGGTCAATAGTAAAAATCTTCGAGGTAAAGCTATCTGAAGCGTTGGATTGGTGTAAGAAATTGATGAGGAGAAGGACCCTTAGAACTTAACGTGGCACTTTCCAAGTCAAGATCCAAAGATGATGTGATTTACATGGAAACAAAGCCTACTAGGTTGTGGCGAACAAAAGCTTCTCCAAAGGTTGGTTGAAGGATGCAATCACAAGATTTTTACACCTCAACTAAAATATTAGATAACGTAGTGGGTTACACCTCTCCTGCAATAAGACCAATTGAGCCAATCTCTGGAGTTTACACCGACGTTGCGGTGTTTTCCCAAAAGACGTTGTGCGAATGGCTGAAACAGGAAGCAACAAGAGATTTAAGTTGGGGAAACATCTGTGCTAAGAATTTGGTTTTGATAGTGATAAAAACATATGTGTTTTCAAAGTGACTCATTAGACTTGTACAAAATTTTAAATCTAATGAAACTACTAGACTCTTTCTCCATCTTCGCCATGGGTTTTGATAGAGATAAAAACATATGTGTTTTCAAAGTGACTCATTAGATTTGTACAAAATCTTAAATCTAATGAAGCTATTAGACTCTTTCTCCTTCTTCTTCATGGGTCCCATAACACCTAAGTAGATTCAGTTCCGGTCAACAAAGATTTGGACGGAGGTATCTTAGCCACAGCGAATCGTTCATCCTTCGAGTACTTCTTTTGTAATCCTCCCTTACTCTCACTCCTTTTTTGCTGCTGCTCCCACTGCTGATACGCCAATAGCTTTGCACAGTCCCTGTTTCATCATTTATTAACAAAAAAAATCAAAATCCAACCACAAATTACAAAACCCCATTGTATGAAAATGGATAATAGAAAGGGGCTTTTTACTTACATGAGCTGAGTTTCAGAATAACCGGTGTGATGCTTGAGAGTGTTAGTCCAAATGGGAACTTGGTGAAGAGCAGATCTTGCTGCGTAGATTGCAGAGGCAGCAACCATAGATGGGCTGAACATTATCGTCGTGTCGTAATGCATCACCCCTAACTCGACCAAATAGTGCACCATATTCTCCATCTAAAGACAGAGACAAGACCCAGTTGAGCATTACATTGTAAATGCAAAAAAAACATGGAAGAAACCGAAAGAAAAGCTCTCTTACTCGTTGGTCTGCAATGGAAGCTTTGATGAAACGAGCGAGGAAGACATAATGGGTCGGAACTGTCAAGTACCACTCGAGTGTAGACAGTATTGTCTTCTCCATCACCAGAATCTGTTTGTGACTGTATGCATGATCTGCAATGTCAACTAGATCCTCTACCTGCAAAAGAATCATGTTTTGAGTTAGCTGAAGACAAGAAGAATAAAAAACATCAGAAGCTCATCAATTCAAACGTTCTTTGTTTGTTTTATCACCTGAGGTGGCCAGATTTCTTCGTATTTGGATGACATGAGAAGAGCACTGAGACCAACCAGCTGCAATTCTTTCCTAGGTACTGGCTTAACCGACAAGAACCGGTCCAAAATGTTTATGGTGAGGTAAAATGTTTCTGGGTTTAGCTCGAATCTGACATGTACATCTATCAACCATTCAACCAGAATCAATCTCATCTTTTCATTAATCTCAGGCTGCGATTGCATGTAATCGGTTGGACGCCATTCACTCTGCCAATCCAAGTGATATAAGTTTCATAACACAATGATGCAAGGACAGAGTCAACAAAACTACTAAGAACTAACCTCAACAGATTTGTAGAAACTGTATATATCTTCAACATATTCAACAGCTGCAAGGTCATTATTAGCATCAGCAGAATCGATATCAGCAATCTTTTCTATCGGATTCTTCTCGAAACCACAAGCAGCCTGGAAAGCATCGGAAGAAAAAAGAAGATTCAGAACAGACCAAACATTTGTTTAATTTACACCATGAAATGAATCATTGAGTAAAGTTACCTTGCTTCTAGCGGTGAGAACAGATGTGTAAGAGGTTGCTTTCTTCTTAGCGGCTTTCTTCTCCTGGACAGCAACTAAACCATGTTCTTCATCACTGTCTGAGCTTATCTCTATTATCTCTACATCCTTCGATTTCTCAGCTCTTTTCTTTGGCTTCCGTACCACCACGGGTTTATCAAGCTGCAGGTCAAAACAACATAGTAACATTAGCTATCAAAAATCTACTGAAGGAACCTAATTGAAAATCTCTTATACTTACATTTAATGGGAAAAAGGAACAAAATTTGAGAATTACCTCCACAAGTGGAACATGTTGAGACCGTGTACGAGGACGATTGATCTTTGCCGGCTCGTTCTTTGGGTAATTTCCTCGAACAACATTACCTATATCACGAAGAACTTGGCGGTTTCTTCCTTTCCCAACATTTTCGTTATCTTCCACAACAACAACATCACCTTCGACACAGAAAACAAAACAACGTTCACAATTTTAGATTCAATCAGCCACTGAATTTATAAATTGATAACAAGAAAATCCAAGAACAGGTAGTAACTCTCAAAACACAGAAAACCAACATACATCAATTTTCTACATGTGAGTTCTGATTTTGAAACGAGTATCAAAACTGAAGATCATTGGATGAGTCAGAATAACCAAATCAATTTTCCTGAAACCCTCAAAATAAAATAAAATTTGAAAAGATCATCTTACCCATGGTTTGCTGAGAGACCATCGATCGAGACGCCATCATTATTTGTTCGTTCGTAAATCTCTCCTCTCTTCGTTTTCACTTTCTCTCCCACTCAGTAAAACCCTCCTTCATAGATATTGTAATAGACTAATTGTGTGATCTCTATAAAAGAGGCTTCTTGAGGAAGATGAGCAGTTTCCCCAACGGTCTGATTTTTTCTTTTTTTTTTTTAGTTTTGATTTGGACGGTGCGATGAGACCTTCATCCAACAGTAAAAAATGATAGGTCAATCTTATATGACCGTTGAGAGAAGAGCGTGTCTTAGTTAGACGTTTGGGCAATATCTTATCTTGAAGAAAGCCTCTGGAAAAAGGCCCATAGGCCCATTAAACTAAACGTCAAGTGATTGGTTGGTGACAGATCGGCTGTTACTTTATCCAAATACAAAATCGGCTGTTACTTTATCCAAATACAAAATCGGCGATGGTTATAAATTAGAGTCGCATCGTTGCGATCGATCAAGAGTTTGTTTGATTCGAACACAAACTAAGAAAAAGCAGAGTAGTATTGTTTGAAGCCTTATTGAAGTTTCAACTATAAACTTTGCACCAAAGGAAAGTTTAACTATAAAAATCAAAATACAGAAGCAAACTAGAAGAAAGACAGGAAGGCAAAAGAAGAGAGAGACTTTCAGACAGCTTTAGGTTGAATCTGTTCGAAGTCGAAAACCTCAAACATGAGCCGCCGAACATCCGGTTTTCCATAGATGGTGTAGGCGAGGCCGTGAATGGCTTGTTGAACAGCGGTTGTTGCCGGATTTCTAAGTCTCCGGTTATGTTCATACCGATCATGAACCTCCTCCGAGTAGATTATAAAGTTGTGAAGACGTTTCTCCCTGAGATACCGACCACAGAATTTGTTCATTAACAAACGCCGATGCTTCTCTTGTAGCCATTTACCTGGTGCGTCCAGGTGCTTCATTAATAAACGTTCCGCCATTGCTATGTCCTGCAAGATCCCAAGATTATATAAAAAAAAGGGTTAAAAACACTGTCTTTTAAGATGCGAGATCAAATGTCTCACCTGTATCTTTTGGCCTACGTATTCCAATCGCTCGAAACAAAACCGCGGGTGTTCAAACTTGTGTTTTGAAGGATGCAAGAAGCAGAGCTGTGTGAAATTAGGAAAAAAAAGGTTAGAGAAAGGAAAGTAACATAATGCATAAAAAAAAAGCCCGAGATGAACTGTTCTTTTACCTGTAACCCGAGTCCAAGTTCGATGTTTCTTGCTTCCGTTATCTCCTGGATTCTATCATTCATGGGTAAAGGGTAACCTAGAGCCTGCATAACTTTGGGTTTGCTGTCGAAATCCCATATGTTGCCTCTGAAACGATGCATTCCCGGTGGAACACAAGCTCTGAAAAGCCTCGGGTGTGCGAATAAAGCATCTTCAGGGGGCTGCCAAGAGAAATAAAGAAAATGGCGTTTTTACGGCTCAGCACTCTTTTCTTTGATCAACTCAAGAATTTATTTTGTAGCTTTGATGCTTTACCTTGTAAGTAGCAATATCTTGCCAGCTTAGCTTTTTGCCTTCGAATTCAACAGAGACATAATCTACATCCTCAAGCTGTCTCCTAGCTCGAGGTTGGCAATCCTCGGAATCTGGGTCCATCCCAAATACCTCAAAAAGTACACGATACACTTCCGGCATCCCATAGCATAGATAGATGGCACCAAACAAAGCCCAGAACACAGATCTAGCATGAAATCAAAACAAATTAACATGGTTAAGTAGCAGGTACATGTCAAAATTATGTCACACTAAACACTTTGGGATGTTGTGTTGCACAGACTCGCTGAGTTTCCCAGTCATCTATTTCAATCAAAAGGGAAATTCCAGACTGTACTGAATTTTCACACAGCTCTTTCAACTATATTGTTGGAACCTCCAGTTATCTTACTTCAGACTATTAAATATTAGCTAATGCAATTGATGACCGAGAACAAACAGATACACAATTGATCTACTTCTATAAGAAAAAGAATTGATCAGCTAAAAGCTATTAGCAACAAAAGCTGCATCTACAACAAAATCTTAGCAACTAAAATATGTACAACTTATGGTAAAGCGTAGGCTTCTCTAAACACAAAATGTAATTCCCGAACAAGTTCTTGAAGAGAACCAGACAACATAAACTAGTTCATGCTACACAAAAAAAGTAGATAAATTCACACTCTTGGTTCATTGTGTCAAAGTCGTTAAAGACTCAAATCTCAGCTCAAAGCAACTTAAACTATGAACTAACTCAAGATGATCAATTCAAGTGATGACAAAGAGAGAAACTTACTTAACCGGTGGCTCACGGTCTTTCCTGATCAACTTGTCCATATCATCATAAGGAAAGATGAGATTCTGCAAGCTCGCTGCTTTAATCCACTTTGGGAGATACCTCTTCCCAATCAAAGCAAACACTCTCTCCCTCATAGGCCCAGGAGGTTCCCTCGGATACCTCTGCAAGAAAAACTCCGTGAGGGCAAGCTCAAGCACGTACTGACCCAGAAACCAAAGCCTCGAGTGCCCATTCTTCACATGCCTGGCACGTGCCCTGTCACACGACGGGTGCTGAAACGCCAAATACAGCAGCGTGTCGAAGTGTTTCGCCGGGTTCTCGTCGCTCAAGCTCTCCGAAGGCTCCAGAGAGTACCCTAAAGCTTGTTTGACCTCTAGAAGATACTCGTCGATCCATGTTTTATCTGCGTTGTTGAGCTTTGACGGCGGGAGACAAGAGCTGAGTAAAGGGAACGATTTGAGAGACAATTGTGGGCTATTGAGGAATCTCTCTGCTAATTTCTTGTCGTCTAATGGTGGCCTTAGGATGAATCTTTTTGGAGGGACTTTCTTCTTCGGTCCCGTGGCTTGTTTACGCTGCGCGAGCTCCTTGAGGAGACGTTGAGGGCTGTCTCGTGGAAGGCCCTGAGTCTCCGCCGCCACGGAGGCGCAAATTCGGAGATTCTGGAATCTGGGTTTCGAGAGAATCGACGCGTTTAGTTGGATTCCAGATGGGAACTGAGAAACCGAAGAAGAAAACGAGATTTCGTGTAGTGAAGAGGAACGGCACTGCCCGCGGAGGAGGGAAGAAGATGAAGATGAAGAACAAAGCTCCATTGCTTTTACACTATTATTCAACAAACAAACAAAATAAACCCAACAAATTGAGAGTCAAATCATCAAATTTGAGTCGAGAACACTCGGCTCGCGCAAGTCGCAAATTTGCAGCAGCAGCAGCTGAAGAAAATGGTAACGATGATTGCAATGTTCCATGGATAAGGTGCAGATTTTACGATCCCGTGGCGGGGAGAATTTTTTCTGGATCAAGGTCCTAGTGTAATTATTTGGGCCCATGAAAGCCCAACAAAACAGTGATACACAATTACACACAAGTTCTTTTTGAGGTAAGGATCGAAAATCTCATATTCTTTTTTTTTGTTGATTTGAGGTTGCATACCCAAAAATTTCTATTAAAATCTAGATATAAATATACCCATATATATGTATAAATATATATCAACTTCAACTAGTGTAGTTTAGATTATGTTACATTCAAAATCAAATATGCACAAGTCTTTCTTTGGATCTTTACATTGGATACTTTCTCTATAGCAGAGTTACTTTGGAGGAGTGTGAAAAGTGAAAACTAAACCATGAATAATTGTTACTTCTTGAGGGGGGTCAAAGTAATCTTTATAATGTGTAATCATGACAATGGAGTATAGATGTAATCTCTGATATTTATCAAACAAAATATTACACTTTACAGGAAAAGAGATTCCTTTTGTGCTGCTCTTTTTTTTTCTCTCGATCACATGGCACATGATAATCCGACTTATAATGAGATAAAATAATATATCAGACACTAGAAGACGTATGAGTCTTCCTATCTTGGTCGGTTTTCAGTATTTTACAACCATTTGTGTTATTTAATACAAACATTTTATTATTTACTTTTTTTCATGTACTGGTTAGACACTAGAAGACGTACGTGTGCTTCTGTTTTTTGTTTCCTATATAAAAAATTACTTAATCAAGCATGGTTTGGTTGTCCAAAAAAAGGAATCGAACATTGTTTGTAAAATCCTTACAAATTGTTATTTAATCGAAATATAATACTATAGTATGCACAATCAATCTTAATCAAATATAATACTTAAAAATTGTAGCTGTTAAAAAAAAAAAAAAAAAAAAAAAAAAAATACTTAAAAATTGTTATTTAATTCGATTATAGTGACTTCTTCAGTCTCTAAATCCAGAAGGAATAGTCTCTATGGAATTCCACGACTAGATTTGTTGCCTTCTGATTTGCTCCTTCCTCTTGTCTGCAGTGAATTACTTAAAGGAATATTTGAGGAAGACAATTCTACCATTTGTTTTGAACGTGGGCTGCTCTTGAAAAAATCCTCTTGTAGCTGATTTGGATCGAGGACTCAGCTCCACCTCATGGGTTCAGTTCAATTCACAAAGGAGAAGAGGGTTTTGAAAGTGTAAAATAAATAAATAAATAAATAAAATCATATATCCTTTTTAATCCAATCAGGCGAACAAAAAACATTATTTTTTAAGTTATGACTACATGCATTAAGTTGTATTTTGACGTTTTGGGATTTTTTTTTTCAGTTTTTGTTTGTTAATTTGTCTGTTTGGACAGATATATTTTTACCCTTGTTTAACATGAGGTTTTTACTGGAAGATTGAGGAGAACAAGTTGTTGAGCTTATTTTATCTTTCTTTCTTTTTCTGCTTATCCTTTCTAACCAAACAAAAAAAAATTGAGAATCAAACTACAATTAGCGTAACCGAATTATCCCCGCACCAATCAATGAATTCTCGTGTATTTGAAAAGCCAGTCGTAACTTTTTGTCTGAATCTCAGATTTTAATTTATTATTTTATTATACTATTTTTTAGCAGAATCATTGATCACTTTTTTCGATTATAGAAGGGATATAGTTTTTTAGATCAAAATATATATTAAATGATGATAATAATAAATAAAAGATGCGTGATTGCCTTTACTTGCATGGCATGGAGTAGCCCCTTTTGAATGACTGACTTGAAGAACTACTATTCTCGTCAACTTATGTTTTTGTTCCCTTTTAAACGTCAACTAAAGTCGATATCAATAATCGCCTAACCATAGATAAAAAAATAGGGAAATTCCCTAGAATATAAAACCATTAGCTTCTGAAATTACGTAAATACAGCACTGATTAAAACCATTCTCTCGTGTCAACTGAATCGGACCATGTGTAGCTTTCTTTTCTAGATTTGTAGTGTAGATCTAAACTGCGTTAGTTTTTAGTGGTATGCTGTAATCGTATATAGACTGCTATCGTAAATGTGAGGCAGTAGTTTTGGCAAAATAAATGAATAAATAAATAAATATTTGAGTCAGTATGTCGATTTCTATACAGAGGCATGACTGGTTATAAACAATACTCTTTAGTCCGTGTTTAACTAGGTGACTAATTATTATATCAACAACAAAAGAAAAAGAAAAGAAAAAAAAACTTGGTGACTACAAGATCCAAATTAGTTTGTGGAATGCCATTTTCTTTTAGCTAAATGATGAAACGGCTAAAGACAATTGCATTTTTGCAAAATTATATGATTAGTAAATAGACTATGAGACAGTGAAGGAGATTCGGGCATTCTATCATGTTTGGGTATTACTTGTTCAAACAGATGTTCATAAAAAAGGGTATTACTTGTTAGAACTAAGATAATCGTACAATATTTAACTAATTAAGACTATATGAATGGAAAACTATAACAGTCAGGAGTATAGTAGTTGAGATATGAGGAAGATTCAAGGTGGCTATAACACAATTATTCGCAATGTCAAGTGAAACATCGCTATCAAACTCGATCCCCACCACTCTCTATTCCCTCATATAGATGATCCTTGTGATCATATCAATACGCACACAACACACACAAAAACACTATGGATTTTGACCCCCAAAAAAATCAATAAATAAATACACACACAACATTTAGAAAGAATAATATTATGATATTCACAACCAAACAATGATCAAATTACAAAAAAAACGCGTAGAAAAAGCCAGGAGGTTTTGAATTATTATTCTAATTACCAATAAAAAATATTTGAAATTAACCAGGAAAATATAATACTAGAAATTAATCAGAAAATTATAATACGATAAACCAGTAGTTCAAAGTACCTTAAATTGATGCCAAAAATTATAATAGTATTTAGTCTTTTTCAAAAAAAAAAAAAAAAAAATTGCAAGCTGGCGGGCGCTACTTGTGCCACCACACAAAAGCATATTATACATATAAGATCTCTCACGCCATTCATGTAATCATAATTATATAATCACACACTTAAAAGAAAAGCTTATACTTATACAAAGAGAGAAAGCGAGTTAAAAACAACTAAAAAGAAATGGCTACGAACAAAACGAATCTCTTATTGCTTCTTCTCTCTCTCTTTCTCACCCTAAACCTCGTCTCGGCTCAACTCCGCCGCAACTTCTACGCCGGAAGTTGTCCCAACGTCGAACAAATCGTCAGAAGCGCCGTTCAGCAAAAGATTCAACAAACCTTCACCACCATCCCCGCCACTCTCCGCCTCTATTTCCATGATTGTTTCGTCAATGTAACACATTTTTTCATTTATCTTTCTTCTTGATTGAATTAATTTCAATTTATGAAATCAATTAATTATATTACTATCATATAACAGGGTTGTGATGCATCGGTGATGATAGCGTCGACTAATAATAATAAGGCGGAGAAAGACCATCCAGATAATTTATCTTTGGCCGGAGATGGCTTCGATACCGTCATTAAAGCTAAACAAGTTCTTGACGCCGTCGCAAATTGTCGTAACAAAGTTTCTTGCGCCGATATTCTCACGATAGCTACTCGTGACGTTGTCAATCTCGTTCGTATACCATCACTATCATATTTTATTACATTAAACGTCTCTAATTAAAACATTATTTGTTAATATTAATTTTACATATAATTAATTCATATAGGCGGGTGGACCAAGATATGAAGTTGAATTAGGGAGGCTAGATGGGCTTTCGTCGTCGGCGGCTAGCGTCGAAGGGAAGCTTCCACATCCGACGGACGATGTTAACCAACTCACTTCACTTTTTGCCAAAAACGGTCTTTCCCTTAAGGACATGATCGCTCTCTCCGGTAAGCTTTTTGTCCTATTTCTCGACCGGGAACAGTATTATTCGGCTAGTTTAATATCAAGAATATTTACTTTTTGATTAGGATCTGATATGGTTTTAGATTTTTTTTTTTTTTTTTTAAAGCAAGTATGTTGAGTAATTGCTTTTATTTAATTTCGGTTTATCTGATCCGGTTATTACGATATCTAGGCTTACAATTTTCCGGTCCTAATTTAAATTTGGTTCGATCAATAAAAAAAAAAAAACAGGAGCGCACACATTAGGATTCGCGCATTGCACCAAAGTGTTCAATCGGATTTACAGTTTCAACAAGACAACTAAAGTGGATCCCACAGTTAACAAAGCTTACGTGGCAGAGTTACAAGCGTCTTGTCCTAGAAACATAGATCCAAGAGTGGCTATAAACATGGACCCCACAACACCTAGACAGTTCGACAACGTTTACTATAAAAACCTGCAACAAGGGAAAGGATTGTTCACGTCAGATCAAGTTTTGTTCACTGATCGTCGGTCAAAGCCAACCGTTGACTTATGGGCCAATAATGCAAAGCTGTTTAATCAAGCTTTTGGTAACTCCATGATCAGGCTTGGTCGTGTTGGTGTTAAAACCGGACGCAATGGTAATATCCGTCGTGATTGTGGAGCTTTTAACTGAATTCTCAGTATATATTTTTCTAGATTTCTTATTACTTCCATTAAAGTTGTATTCATGGGGATAGGATCGGTCTCAAGATGAAGCTGGTTTAGCTCAAATATAATAAATCTCAATTTTGGGTTTCAGTTTGCAGAAGTAAAAAGTTGTATGTAGCCTTGTAAGAATTTTGGAGTCAGAAAAAATTTAAGGCAGTGTCATTTTTGGTGAGTGAGTTTGATAGATGACTATAATTTCTCAGTCGTCTATTGTTTCGTAAGTACATGTAAGTTTTCTGTTGAGACCCAAAAAGGAATACATTGTACTTATAACATTCTCAGAAAGATTGTTAAAGACCACTCTTTCTGATTTTCCAAAGTTTCAGATAAAATACTTCTGCCACAATTCAATACATCTCTTCTACGTTTAATACCGTTTTCAACTTTCAAAGCTTTCTGTATAGCTTTCTTGGGGTATAAGGCCCAGGCCTAGCTCTAAACAAGGGAAGGAATGGCGTTTTGGGCATCTTGTTTTACTCGCTTTTGAGAAATTAGAATGCGGCATGTACTGATGTATTATTTAAGGAAATTCATTTACTTGATTAAATCAGAAAGGTTATAATTTCCTGGATTTTTGGGTCAACAGATATTAAATCCAAATATGTAATTTCCTAATTCCTGTAATATTCTGGATTTTATTTGGTGGCAATATATAGTAATGTTTGGGTTTACGGTTTACTTCTAATTATATTGAGATTTTTGGTCAACCTTTAATTTTTTATAATGTGTTTGTAGATGTTGACTATAAAAACTTGTTATAGGTTTAGAAATAAATGCAATTAATTACAAATCTAGTTATATATCAAATTAGACATAAATATTTGTATATGTTGACGATATACAGTTTCTTATTTGGCTTGTCACTTATTTGTGCCCACCATAGCCAAACAAAATTTTAAGTTCCCTCAGGTCCATTCATGTAACATAAATATGTAATCACAATTAGAACAATGGATGCGAATAAAATGAATCGCTTATTGCTTCTTCTCTCTCTCTTTCTCATCCTAAATATATCATCAGCTCAACTCCGCCGTAATTTCTACGCCGGGATTTGCCCGGACGTCGAACAAATAGTCAAAAAGGCCGTTGAACAAAAAGTCCAACAAGCTTCCATCACCGTTCCCGCCATTCTCCGCCTTTACTTTCATGACTGTTTCGTAAATGTAAAACATATTATCTTTTTAAAATTCTTTCTTAATCTTTAAATTTTGTCTTAATTAATTTAATTTCATAGGGTTGTGATGCATCGGTGATGATAGAGTCAACCAATGATAACAAGGCGGAGAAGGACCATCCAGATAATCTATCGTTGGCCGGAGATGGATTTGACGCCATCGTTAAAGCCAAACAAGCTCTTGACGCCGTCCCAAATTGTCGTAACAAAGTTTCTTGCGCCGATATTCTCACGATTGCCACTCGTGACGTTGTTAATATCGTTCGTAACTCATCACTAACTATATATTATACCATCTTTGATGCATCAAATAAATAAATTATAACATTTATTGTTGTAAATATAATTAATTTTGAGTTGATGTAGGTGGGTGCACCAAGGTACGAAGTGGAATTGGGGAGGCTTGATGGGCTATCATCGACGGCGGCAAGGGTAGAAGGAAAGCTGCCACAACCAACAGATGATGTTGACAAACTCACTTCACATTTCGCCAAAAATGGGCTTAGTCTTGACGACATGATCGCCCTCTCCGGTAAATTTTTTTCTTATACTTCTCGATCGAGACAAGCGTCATCGATATTACAACGAATAACACAAGGACATTTTTCAAACTATATCATTAAATAATATTCACTCTATATGATATTAAGAGCTGATTTAAGGAAAAAGATTGTTTCATTCTAATTGATGTTTTAATTTTTACCTTTTTGTCAATTGTATCATGCAGTTTATTTTATTTTTGATTGTAGAAATATTATAATAAAATAAGCAAATTTATTTGGTCGGATGATTTAATGGGATAATTAATTTGGATGGTTTTGATGTAAAACAAAAAAAAAACAGGGGCACACACAATTGGAGTCGCTCATTGCACCAAGGTATTGGAGAGGATATACGGTGTCAAAGAAGACCCGAAGATAAACGCTACTTACTTAGCACAACTCAAAGAGCTGTGTCCTAGAGACGTGGATCCTCGCAGATTGGTAGTTATGGACCCAACAACACCGGGAAAATTCGACAACGTTTACTACAAAAACTTGCAGCAAGGCAAAGGATTTTTCAAGTCTGACCAAGTTTTGTTCAGCGATCGTAGGTCAAAGCCTACCGTCAACTTATGGGCTAGTAATGAACAGTTGTTTAATCAAGCTTTCGTTAACTCCATGATCAAGCTTGGTCGCGTTGGTGTTAAAACCGGCCGTGATGGTAATATCCGTCGCGATTGTGAAGCCTTTAATTAGAAAATACACTTTGTGAAATTTAAGAAAAAAGATGAATATTTTTCTTTGTAACTCTGGCTTACGCGTTGCGCGCGGCCCTAGGGACATAGATCCAAGCAAAATTCATCTTTATGAAAATGGTGTTAATATATATTATATATAGAAATAGAATATCAGTTAAAAATATCTTGGTTAATTTGTGAATTATATTTTGTATACATTGTAATTTTTCTTTATTTTTTACCCCAAACAAAATAAAAATAAAAATAGCTTTATCCATGTATCTAAGAAGAAGTGTCTCTTTGCATATCCAAAAGCCGTCTGATGCCGGAAGACCTAATTTTCATTTGGAATCGATGGGAACCAATTTATCGATTTGCATCTTCTACATACAAAGCAAGTGTCAATTCTTTACAGGATTTTTATTTTCATATGAGCTGGCTGTTGTACTGAAATTTTGAATAAAACCATATAGTAAAAAGTTGAGAATTTTTTTTGAAAATTTCAAGGTGGAGGTATTTTACACATATATATATATATATATATTTCAATGAAAATTGTTTTATATAATGTATGCAATAATCAGTATTTGTAATAGATATAGATATGTCGGAAAATCCAGACCATTATATTTTAATATTGTATGTGTCTAAGCAAACCATTTTCAACAAATTATTTTTTACCATCGGCAAAGTATTATATCACCAAAAATTATCATATTTTCTAGATAGAGAGAAGTCCTTAAGTAGCCAATAATTATGCGGCTTCACTAAAAAATCCACTTCCCGTCACTACAACAACAAAAAAAAAAAAACCCTAAAAAGAGGAACCTCAAAAACTGAGTTTTGCGTCGTCGGTTTTAAACAAAAAGGTTTAATAACTTTGTCTCTCTTTTGTTTCTGTATGTATCGCCATTGAGTCCATTTTCCCAACACGACGTCGTAACTGATTCCTCCGATGGACTTCCCGGACCATCACCGTTACCCGCCTTAGAAAACGGTAGCGGAGGAATAAAAGGAACCGGTATAGCCGGAAAGGTTAGAGCTAACCCGTGGTTCAACTGGAGATCCAGATCCGAACCATACCGATCGGTTTTCACTCGTTTCCGATCAACCGGTTCAATCTCCGTCGTATTTAGCTTAGATCTGGATGATGAGAAGCGGCAATGGTGGTTTTGGTTGTTCCGGGAAACGTCTCGCCGAATATCGGTGCAGATCATCTCGGAAGAGTCATCGGAGGAGATCAACGACGGAGATTCGAGGAGATCTGACATCGGTCGTAAAGTCCCGCCGCGAAGAACAGTTTCAACCGCCGCTTGACACACGTGCCAGTTCCCGGTCCATAACATCCCAACCGCTCCGTTAACCGGATTCACCGTCCTCCCACACGCTTCAAACAACAAAGACTGAAACAAAGCTGAACAAACAACCAAACAGAAAAATCAGTCCCGATTTTTTTAAAAAATTCTTGAAACCTAATACAGAATCTTGATAAAGTGTTCGTGACCAAAAAAAAGAATAGAGGAAGAGTCGTACCAGGGCGGTTTAGTTCAGGGACGGCGGAGATGAAAGACATGAGACCGGCACGGCCGAAGAATTTAGCGACGAAGACGGTGGCGTGGCCTTGCGACTCGGCGGATTCGATCCATTGAAGGCAAGGACGAAGGATGCATGTTTCGCTGCATCCTTTTCTAAGAACTCTACATCCATTGCAACTCATATTTCTTCCACACTCGGGAAAAAAAATTAATAATCCAATTTCAGAAATGAGAAAATATCCAATATATTGGGAAACTCTGTATGTTAAAACAAAAACAAAAAAGGGTCGAGTAATGAAGTGTTTTCAAAATTTAATTCGTATTTGGGAGAAAGAAACACAGGTTTTGATCTGATTTGGTAGAAATTAGAGGGTGAGGAGAGAAAGAAGAAACAAGTTTTAAGAAGAGGAGAGAGGCTAGATTGGATTTATAGAGAGAGAGAGAGAGTGAATAATACTAAAAGAGAGTGTGTCAACTTGATTTCTTTTTTATTCCTTTGTCCTTTCTTTTCCATTATTTTATTTAAACCATTGTGTGTATACAGACATATTTAAATATTTCAAACTTATGGGAAAGACAGAAACTCAAGAAAAGTTTATGGTATTCTTGATAGAACTTTGAAAAGTTCGAATATTTACGTCGATCGAGAATAGCTGATAAAAACTTAGCACCACAAACAAAAAGAATAGCTGATAAGATAGAACAAATAGTTAATTAACTTTCAACTTTTTTTTTTTAATATCAGCTATGCATGAAACCATCTTTATAATTAAAAGTGCGAAGATATATTGGCACTTGCTCTACATCTGTTGATTTAATATAATTGCACTGTTATGTATTAAATTTGCCAAGATATCACTAAACCAAATTAAGTTCGAACCTTGTGTGTCTTTTCTAGTGAAAGGTAAATGACCATTTGGACCAAATGAAGAAAGAAAAAAAAACATGCACCATTAAGAAATTTTTTACATATACGAGGAGTGGACTAGGATATAATATGTTTTTGATCTAATGAGTTATACTCCAATATGTATAAAAACAAAAGCGTACTGATATTGCAATAATCATGGAGCGGGATAAACTAATATTTCGTTCTTTTAAAATTTTGATTAATCTATAAGTTTATTGGTATTCTGACAATTAAAAAGTAGGTGAGGACGAAAAAAGAAGAATTACACTATTACAGGAAAGGACAGCGTTTTGAGAGGGGTTCCAAAGGTATTGGCATTAGGGTAAGAGAGAGAAAGAGCGTTTCCGTTTCTCCGCGAACACTTGTCGCTGACTCAGACTCGTGTAATTTTATATTACTTTTTTTGCTTCTTCTTTTTTTTTTTAATTACTTATTCTCAAGATGTACTCGTTCAATAAAGAAACCAAAGCTGAATTTGGGATTTGATAGAGAGAAAAAGGAATAGACAAATCTTACGTCAGGAGACGATGGGGTGCACGTGGATTAGGGGATATTATTGGTACAACTTGTGGTGTGTATTTTCATGGGATGTTTAGGAAATTTAGTTTAGAAAAAAAAAAGATGATTTATTGTGTGTTCTTTGTGGTGTAGTTATTGTGTGTTCTTCTTTTGTTTAGGTTAAAGTTATCGTGCGTTACTTGATGATGCGATGATTTGGGTGGTGAATGAATCGTATTATTCTAAAGTTTACTCATTTGGAGGGCATTATTGAAGCAAAAGAAACTAATCACAAGTGGGCAAAGTGTTAAAAGGAAGACCATATAAAAAAAGGAGAGGATAAAGTGTTGTGGTTATGTAGCTACATATTCTTATATTATTCTGTGGTAGATAGATACACAGTAAGACCGCCCGGATATCCAATCAATAACAGTTTTCGTTTTTTGTATAGTTTTCAACAACGAAACTTGGAAAGAAATATTCACCAACAACGAAACTTGAATTAAATAGATCGTAACCCAAACAGTAATACTTTTATGTCTCAATTGTAGTGTTTCTTTTTATGTTTGTTTGTATATTTAATGCTTAATGTAAATGAATCTATGATTCCTAATGTTTGAATCATAATTTGCGTCGAATCCAAATGCAATTGTTTTTTTTTCGTAGAAATATCTTAAAAAACGTATACGCAAATCATAATTTTAATTTTAAGAAAAATGGGTACAAGTAAAATAATATAGGTGCTTGTACCATTTTCTTATATTTTAATTTGAATGGTAAAATTTCTTTTAAAAAATCCAAATGTGATTGATTTTGTCTTTAAAATGTACCATTGTAATTTTATTTGGAAAAGATATATTCTTTTTAGAAAAAAACTTCATATAACGCTAAAGGAAATACAGTTAGAATCATAAGTACCATAACAAATGAGATCTTATATTATGTATATTGATGGAATTTTTTTGGGTCTAATATGTACTGAATGGTGATAAACTAAAAGCATTCCTAACATTTGTTACATTTTTGGGTATTAGATACATTATACTATGATATATCGATCGGATTCATATTTGGAAAATGTCAGTTGAACCAAACCAGGAAATTCATTTTCACCTTTCATTTTCACCTATGTGGCTATGTACAGTACAAATAACTGATTTCGAACGAAATCGACTTTTTGATAAGTTTCAGTAGAAATACGATGTAAGCTACATGTCTATATTCATGTTTATCTTATGATTAGTGGGACATTAGGACATAAAAACATAATCAGAAAAAGTCACATGACGGTTTGAGCTTAAGATATTTACGAGGTTAAAAAAGAGTATATTTTTGCATGGATTATATGAGCTATATCCAAATTGCTCTGACTAACTTGTGTCAACCTACTTTCATGTTTCTCCAATCACTTTGGAAAGATAAATACTATTATTAACTGGAGAGGAACGTGATGTGCCATGAGTCATGTCCTCGTCGTCTTCCAAAACCTCATGTGTGTCCATATATATAAATCATAATTTTATTTTATAAGTACCAGGCCAGTACTATAAAACGCTGTTAATTTATTGTATATTGACTGATAATTACATTTGACTCTACGTACCTACGACACAACATAAGTTTTCGCAATCTCCTGGAACTACAAAAGCCGTTATTGACCCTTCGCCATATTCAAAGGTTCTTCTCTCTGCGTGTGAGTGTGTGCGTCTCTGTTTCTCTCGTTTTTTTTCTTTTGTTTTCTATTTTCTTTAAAACATTTTTCTTTATCTGCGGCGAAAAAATTAGAAAATTTGGAAAAGTGCTTTGCTTATCCAAGTGCTTCAGTGGCGAATCTTCCTAAAATTCTGACCTAATTAGAGAAATTATGTTGTGTATCACATCATGTTCCACTCTTTCTCAGAATAGGTCCGAAATTACTACTTAAAGTATAATTACATTAATTCTTATACAAAATACGACTTTTTACCTGCAAAATAAAATATAACTTAATGGACTGGTGACACTGATCCAAAGTATTTGGTTTATCACTGTGAAACGTATTATAAGCAAAACAATTACGATTATTATTCCATAAAAAAACAATTATGACTAGTGTAAACATACAAAAAAAAAGAGGAAAAGTAAGCGCATTGAAGCATTGAATAGAAGACTTATTAATAAGAAAAAATGTTAAACAACAAAAAAAACTTGTGGAATAGCAGATTTTTGTTATATTAATAATGTTAAACAACAAAAAAAACTTGTAGAATAGCGGATTTTTGTTATATTAATAATGTCGAATAATAAACTGAGTTAACTTATATCGTGATTTCATATAATGATGGTCATTTGCTCCATTCCAAACAAAAAAAAAAAAGAAGAAATTATCAGAAGTCAGAACGTGTATTTTTAGTTTTTCTTGTTTTTGAATGGTCAGATTTTTCTTAACTTTCTGCTTTACAATTGATTAACATTTCTTATGACTGTTACTGTCGCTTCTGACGTGGCATACTTATCCAAAATAAGTGGATTTTTAATTATGTGTTCGTACAGTTGAACTCGCTGGAATGCAAGTAACAACAATCATGATATCGTATACGATCATATATTCATATTCAGATATTCGTTTTTATATCCTCCTTTTATCTATTCAGTATTCATGCCGTATTGCGATTTTTTTTGTTTGGTTCTTGTTGTTATGCTATTTCTGTTAAATTTACAAGGTTTCAGATAAAATTTGAAACTATATACGTACTGCAAAACACATAAAAGGCTTGTATGTCATAAACCAAATCATATATATTAACAAGTAGAGAGGGAAAATATTTTCTCATTAATTCTGTAAGGTGTATCAGTTACATATATATACAAGTCTGGTTAAGTAAAAGAAAGCTTAACTTAACTAAACCAATAATATACAGCTAATACACCCCCCTCAAGCCTGATCAACCTTAGGTAGATAAAGGCTTGAAATGGACATACGCCAAAGTAAAGAATGAAAAGAACCCGGATGAAGTGGTTTAGTCAGAATATCAGCCAATTGGTTTGAAATAGACACATGAAGCACCTTCAGGAATCCATTCTTTACTTGATCGCGAGTAGTGTGACAGTCAACCTCAGCATGTTTAGTCCTCTCATGGAAGACTGGGTTATTAGCAATGTGCATCGCTGATTTATTGTCGCAAAAGAGCTTCGTCTGAGATACGACTGGCACATGAAGATCCTTGAGTAACTGATACAACCACATCAACTCCTTAGTAGCCACTGCCATACTCCGATATTCAGCCTCAGTGCTGCTTCGGCTTACAGTTTCCTGCTTCTTAGATTTCCAGGTAATGAGTGAGGAGCCAAGAAATACACACATGCCCGTAACAGAGCGGCGTGTATCCGGACAAGTCGCCCAGTCCGCATCTGCAAACCCATTAAGGCAAAGATCTGTAGTGGCAGAGTAAAACAAACCTTGCCCAGGGTTGTTCTTCAAGTATTTCAACACATTGTGAGCCGCATGAAGATGCACATCAGTAGGGCAAGAGAGAAACTGACTTAAGCGATTAACAGCAAAGGTAATGTCAGGTCTCGTAATGCAGAGATATAGCAAACGACCCACTAGTGCTCTGTATGGAGTAGCATCATCTAGCAATTTTCCTGTTTCTTTGCTAAGAGGAACTTTAGGATCCATAGGCACCGATCTTGGTTTGCATCCTAACAATCCTGTATCCTCCAATAGATCAAGGCAATACTTTCTCTGAGAAACAGATATTCCACTCGAATTCCTGGCAATTTCAAGCCCGAGGAAAAATCTGGCTGGACCTAAATCCTTCGTCTTAAACTGCTTAGCCAGAGCAATTTTAACCGATTCTACTGCTTTGTCATCATTACTAGCTATTAGTATATCATCGACATAGACTAATAGAGCAATGAATGAGTTACCTCGCATCTTCACAAATAATGTGTCATCGGCATAGGACTGAAGAAAACCATCATCAAGAAGTGCTTTAGACAAACACTTGTACCACTGGCGAGAGGCTTGCTTCAATCCGTATATAGATTTATGAAGGCGACATACATGATTTGGCGGTAATGATCCAGAAGATGGTGTGTAGCCTTGTGGAAGACTCATAAAAATCTCTTCTTCTAAATCACTGTGTAGAAAAGCACTTGTGATGTCCATCTGTGTCAAACTCCAGCCCATTCTCGCACTTAAACCAAGGATGAGTTTGACACTAGCTAGCTTGGCTACAGGAGAGAAAGTATCAAAGAAGTCCACACCCTCCTGCTGAGTGAAGCCTTTAGCCACAAGCCGTGCCTTGTAACGTTCCACCGTGCCATCAGCATTGTATTTGATTGTAAATACCCATTTACAACCCACTACATTTTTTCCAGGAGGCAATGATTCAACGGACCAAGTTTTGTTAACCTCCATATTGGACAATTCCAGATTACAAGCATCAGTCCATTCCTTTGAAGCCATGGCCTGTTTAAAAGTCTTTGGTTCGGTGTCCATAGAGAAAGAGAGGATAACAGACTGATATGGGGAATTTAAGTGTTTATAAGAGAGAACAGATGAAAGAGGGTAAGGAGTAGAAGAAACCTTCGTAGAATTGGGAGGAGTAGAAATTTGTGTTAAGGAACAATGGTAATTGGATAGGTACCCTGGTGCCTTTGTCGTGCGTTTTGGCCGGGCATTAGGAAGTGAAATAGGAGCACTCTCTGTAATAACAGGTGAAGTATTTCCTGGAACAAGTGTTGAAGATTGTGATGCAGATGATGCATGAGTAGTAGATGGTGGAGGAGATGCAGGTGGAGATGAATGTATGGAATGATCAAATGATGATGGAGATGAATCATCGAGAGCAACAGGTGTTGACAATGGAAGTATAGTATCATGGAAGATGTCTGATGAATTAGAATTGGAAGAACTACAAAACGGGAATTCATGTTCATGAAAAACCACATTGCGAGACACAGACACAAGATTAGTATCTAAGTGCAGAACTTTGTATCCCTTATATCCAGATGAGTATCCTAAGAAAATGCATTAATCAGCACGATGACTAAATTTATGTCTATCCTTTTGCAAAGTAGAAACATATCATAAACATCCAAATGATCGTAAGAATGTATATGTAGGTTTCCTTTTGGTAAGCAGTTCATAAGGAGACAAATTCTTAAGCAGAACGGAAGGAATTCTATTAATGAGAAAAGCAGCAGTCAAGATGCAATCACTCCAGTAAATCAAGGGTACATTGGATTGAAAGAGTAATGCTCGTGCTACATTTAACAGATGTTGATGTTTACGTTCGACTACAGAGTTCTGTTGTGGGGTATATGCACATGAAAACTGATGAATGAAGCCATGTTTTGCAGTAAGATCATGAAAAGCTAATTCTGGAGCATTATCAGTCCGAATCATTTTAATGACAGCATTGTATTGAGTTTGGACATGAGTAATGAAAGTAGAGAAGATTTGAGAAACATCACTTTTCCTTTTCATTAGATGAATCCAGGTTACACGCGTACTATCATCGACAATAGTCAAGAAATATCTATATCCTTCTACAGACTCTGTATTAAAAGGACCCCATATATCTAGATGAAGTAGATCGAATGGAGATTTGCTAATATGATTATGCGACTCAAAGGACAGACGTTTTTGCTTAGCTAGAGGACACACTGAACAATGAGACTCTGTTGACAAACTAGACTTAGGTATATTCAAGGAACTAGAAAGTTGAAGTAACTTGTCGGATGATGGATGTCCGAGGCGTTGGTGCCAGAGATGTCCATCAACAGCTAAGGATCCAGAGAATTGCAATGTTGGTGAATCAAGTTGTAGAATGTAGAGATTATGAATGAGTGTTCCTATACCAATCATCGAGTCTGGAATAGACCCCTGTATGAAACACGAATCAACATAGAAGTGAGCTGAACATGAACTAGATTTTAATAAACTACTCACAGAAAGCAAGTTGAACTTAAAAGATGGAACATGAAGAACATCATGCAGTACTAATGATGATGATAAATGAATAGTGCCCGTGTGTGTAATCTCAACCCGAGTTCCATTCGGTAAAGAAACTGTTATTCCAGAAACTGCAACTGTTTCACTAAACAATGCCAAGTCAGAACACACATGACAAGTGGCACCACTGTCAATTATCCAAGAACCATAAGGAAGATGATTATAAAGGGTGGAAAGGCATTGATGTTGAAAAGTCAGTCTATTATCCTCAAACCTCAAGGATGTGGAGGGAAAAGGAAAAATACCAGAGGAGGATTGAGGTTGCATAGCTCCATGTTCGGTGATAGTGGCCACAGGTGCAGGCGATGATGTGGAAGCCGCACTCTCAGTGACATTGATCTGAGCAGTCATTTGGTTCAGTAAGGATTGGATTTGATCCGGGTTGAGATGACTGAGATCTAAGTTCATGGATTGAGTAGGTAAGTTCGGTGTTTGTGGATATGGGTAAGGATTAACCACCATGTTGGCAACAGGAGGTGGCCTCATGTTGTTATCAAAAGAACCTCGAGGTTGAAACTGTTGCTGAAACTGTCCTCTCGGTTGCATGGGAGCTTGATTAGAAGGTCTTGGATTCTGATTATAACCAGATTGATTGCTCTTGTAGCCTGGTATATAGCCTGGGGGATATCCATGTAATTTGAAGCATTTCTGAATAACATGTCCAGTCTGATCACAATGTGTACAGACAGGACGAGACTTAGGTCGATAACCATTCTGGACTGCATATGCTGCATTTTCCACTTGATCTCCCAACTGAGAAGCATAAGCCGATTGTTGATTCGGTGTCGACGAAGAAGAATTCTGAAAAACCACGTTTTCAGGTTTAAAAGCAGGCTTTAAATTCTTCTGTCTCTCATCCTGTGCTACCATGTTATATGTGTCCTCAATAGAAGGAATTGGTTTAAGCACAAGGATGTGACGACGTAGAGATTCATAACCTTCATTGAGCCCCATTAAAAACTTTGTAACTTTGCTACGATGCTGAAGATCTTCCCACAATCAGCAGCATTACATTCACATTTCCCACATGTGCATACTGGTAACTCAATGTAATTCTTATATTCCTCCCAGAGAGTAATCAATTCAGTATAATAGCTACTCACATCCATTGATCCTTGTTGCAAAGTACTAAGGCGTTGTTCGATCTCATAAACCCTAGGTGCATCATTCTGCTTAAATCGAGATGAGAGATTTTTCCAGATACCTTCAGCGGTTGAGATGAACAACAAGCTTTGTCCAATCTTCTTGGATACAGAGTTCATAAGCCATGTGGCCACCATATCGTTGCATCTCGACCAAGATCCTGAGTCGCGATGACCTTCATTAGGTTTAGGAATGGTACCATCTATGAACCCAAGCTTGTTGCGCACATTGAGTGCCATTTGTACAGAACGACGCCAAGAATGAAATTCAGCTTCTGTGGTGAGTCGATCGGATACTAGAACGAGACCAGCATGATCTGAGCTATGAAGAAAGTATGGATTCTCATAGAAATCCGTTTGCGTGCGAGAATTTCCCGAAATCGGAACCTCCGAAGTTGAATCAGTAATTTCCACCATCGCGATAAAGAAAGAATCAAGAAAAATTCGTCGAATCAATGTGATATCGAACGAGAGAAAGAATTGATAAGTGTGACGATATGATGAGAATCAACCACATACAAATCTAATCGGAGAAGAAGAAAACGATGAAGATGAAGATCAAGATGGATTTGAAAGTTTCCAGAAATTGAGCCACTAGATTCGTAAAGAAAAGAAAAAGTATGTCAATCAAGGAAGCACTCATCGAGAATCAAAGAAGATGAACATCTATCAAAGAATTAAAGATATTGAAGCTCGAAGATCCACCATTGATGAAGAAAGGTTGTTACGCGAAAGCTTTCTCTCACTTGGCTCTGATATCATATTAACAAGTAGAGAGGGAAAATATTTTCTCATTAATTCTGGAAGGTGTATCAGTAACATATATATACAAGTTTGGTTAAGTAAAAGGAAGCTAAACCAATAATATACAGCTAATAATATATGTAACTTCAAATAACATAGATCATAACATAAGTTAACTTATGATGTCATTTTCAAGTTTCTGTTCTCCCTACGATACAGAGACAGAGAGACACATGTATCCTACGATACTATCCACTTGGTTACGATAAAAACAAAGTCACCGCTTTAGATAGAGAGAAGTCTTGCGTGATGGTGAAACCGTGAAAGATACAATTTTTTTGTTTTAATGTTTTTTTTAGTTGTGGATAGATAAGGTATCTGCAAAAACCAATGATCCCTCTTTTCCCTGTAACAAAGGACAAGAAAAACAAAAAAAAAAAAGAAGAAGATTAAGTTGAGAATATAGAGGAACTACTGAGGAAGTGTGAACAGAGAGAGAGAACATAGTTTACATAGATCACTGTACTTAATTATTGTGTTTTAGGCTTTGATGGCTCCGTCAAGTCCAAGATTGGTGGTGAAGGTTGATTTGAAGAAGAAGCCATGGCAGCAGAGTAAGCCACTGCATAATAGATGGCATCCTGAGATACCATCAGTTGCAACAGTAAAGGCTGGTGAATTTTTCAGAGTGGAAATGATTGATGCAATGGGAGGTGTTGTTAAAGACGATGCCTCTGCAGACGATATTAAGAACGCAGACCTTTCTACTGTAAGAGGGTTTAGTGAGAATCATTTGTAAAAATCAATGATGTACCCATGAATTAGCTTTAAGAGATCAAGTTTTTGGTGATTGTGCAGAGTCATCACCTAAGTGGACCGATCAGGGTTCTGGATGAGGATGGTGTTGCAGCCAAGCCAGGTGATCTTCTTGCTGTTGAGATATGCAATTTGGGTCCTTTACCAGGAGATGAATGGGGATACACTGCTTCGTTTGATAGAGAGAATGGTGGTGGCTTCTTGACTGACCATTTCCCTTGTGCGACCAAAGCTATTTGGTACTTTGAAGGGATCTATGCCTACTCTCCTCATATTCCTGGTGCGAACATAACAGATTCCATCTCTTTTTATTGGGATTTGGCTGCAGAATCTTGTTGTTGATGTAGCTCACATGCCAATATCATCATGTGTAGGAGTACGTTTTCCGGGTTTGACACACCCAGGAGTCATTGGCACAGCTCCATCAAAAGAACTCCTGAGAATTTGGAATGAAAGGGAAAGAAAATTAGAAGAAAGTGATCTCAAGTCCTTAACACTATGTGAGGTTGTGCACCAGCGACCACTAGCAAACCTACCAACAACTAAAGGATGCCTCCTAGGGAACGTAAGTGATACTAACTGTTAGTTAGAATTGTATTTGCAATGGCACAGTACTTATCTCATCAGACCATTGGGGAATTCTTACATAATCCTGTTGTAGATAGAAGAGGGAACACCGGAATGGGAAATGATTGCGAAGGAGGCTGCGAGGACAATCCCAGGAAGAGAAAACGGAGGAAACTGTGACATAAAAAACCTAAGCAGAGGCTCTAAAATATACCTTCCAGTGTTTGTGGAAGGGGCAAATCTAAGCACTGGTGATATGCATTTCTCGCAAGGAGATGGTGAGATCTCGTTCTGTGGTGCTATCGAGATGAGTGGATTTCTAGAACTCAAGTATGTACATTGGTTCCTACTTGCACCTCTTCAACATTTATATTATAAAAGGTTTCTTTGATGCTATCATTTTTGTGCAGCGTTACTAAGAAGTTCTTATCAGATAACGTTTTTTAACTCATTAATTAGGTGTGAAATCATAAGAAACGGGATGCAAGAGTACCTTACGCCAATGGGACCAACCCCTCTCCATGTAAACCCGATCTTTGAGATAGGTCCAGTGGAACCGAGATTCTCAGAGTGGCTGGTCTTTGAGGGTATCAGTGTCGATGAGCGTGGGAGACAACACTATCTAGACGCAACAGTTGCTTACAAACGGGCAGTTCTCAACGCCGTAGACTATCTTTTCAAATTTGGTTACTCAAAAGAACAGGTATTAATCTCTGCAGCTTGATGTTTCTCACAGAATCTAGTTGATCACAAACCAAACGTTCGTGAATTAAAAGCTAGAAAGAAAAATTTCATCATGGTGTGAACAGGTATACCTGTTGCTCTCATGTTGTCCATGTGAAGGAAGGATATCTGGTATAGTTGATTCTCCGAATGCTGTTGCTACACTAGCAATACCTACTGCCATCTTTGATCAGGTATGAATTTGTGTCCCTCTGTTCTTTGCTTAACCCAGAGAGCTTCTTGAGAAATTTGTTGAGTTTGCTTTGTTCTTAAACTGAAAAACAGGCAATGCAAACATGTTAATTGCTTTTGTATGTTCGTTCATGAAGGATATTCGGCCAAAGGTGCGTAAGGTTCCAGTAGGACCTCGGATAGTGCGGAAACCAGACGTTTTGAAGAGCACATATGATGGAAAGCTTCCAATCACAAAGAATCCAAGTTGGTCGACGTAGCTTCTAGAAATAAATTATATAGCAACGCAACTATCAAAACTGTCTAATCAGACATATGTTTTGAAATAAAGAGATAAAATGAGTCCATGAGAAAAAGCCTTGTAAAAAAAAATCTCTATCAAGACTGTATAATCAGACATAGCTTCTAGAAATAAATTTATGTAGAGAGGCACATATGATTAGTTTGTTAAATCGGAAATTCCAAATCACGAAACCGGAGGGTAATGAATTGCGTCCTTAATCTTTATATGCACTATTTTCTGGGTGAATGCATTAAATTTTGTATCAAAATAGCTTACATTGAATTAGAATTAATAACTCGAATGTAAGATTCCCCGTCATGAGCTCCTCCTATATGTACATAACAGAGATCCTCTCCATAACATAAGTCAATGTAATATTATTTTCAACTTCTTGTCATCTATGCACGGCCACACATGCAGACACAAAGAGACATACATATCTTATGGCATTATCCACTTGGAAAGATGAAAGAATGTCATTTGGTTCGATAAAGAAAAGTCTACGAGATAGTGAAATATGGAATATTTTTACTGTCTTTTACTTGTGGATAAGGAATCTACAAAACCAGTGATCCACTTTTTATTACAAGTGAGAGAAAAAGAAACCAAGCATATATAAATATAGAGCGTGTGAGTAGAGAGAGAATAAATACCACTGTACTTACTGAGTTCGGTTTGATGGCTCCAGCAAGTCCACGTGTGGTGGTGAAGGTGGATTTGAAGAAGAAGCCATGGCAGCAGAATCAGCCTCTGCATAATAGATGGCATCCTGAGATCCAACCAGTTGCAGAGGTCAAGGTTGGTGAGTTGTTTAGGGTGGAAATGGTTGACTGGACCGGAGGTGCAGTCAAAGACGATGGTTCTGCTGATGATATTAAGAGCATAGACCTCTCTACTGTAAGTGAGTTTAAGAAAGGAACATGAGTAATCCAGTCATATGATGATTTTGCATATAGATAAAAGTTTCTTGGTGATTATGCAGGTTCATTACCTGAGTGGGCCGATCAAAGTTGTGGATGAGGATGGTGTTGCAGCCAAGCCAGGTGATCTTCTTGTTGTTGAGATATGCAATTTGGGTCCTCTTCCAGGAGATGAATGGGGATTCACTGGTTCATTTGATAGAGAGAATGGTGGCGGTTTCTTGACTGACCATTTCCCTTGTGCGACCAAAGCTATTTGGTACTTTGAAGGCATTTATGCTTACTCTCCTCAAATTCCAGGTAAGAACATAACCATGTAGCTGCCCTTGTTATGAGATGTTGTACTGATTATTGACATGCTAATATAAATCGCATCACGGCACGGTAGGAGTACGGTTTCCGGGTTTGACACACCCAGGAATAATTGGCACAGCTCCAACAAAAGAACTCCTGAGAATATGGAATGAAAGGGAAAGACAATTAGAGGAAAGTGGTGTCAAGTCCTTAACACTATGTGAGGTTGTGCATCAGCGGCCACTGGCAAACTTACCAACAAGTAAAGGATGCCTTCTAGGGAATGTAAGCTATACAAAACGCTAACTGAAGATGCCATAAAAAAAAAATCTTGAATTGTATAAAATGGTACATACCTTGAACTCTTGGGGATTCTTACATAATCCTTTTGTAGATTGAAGAGGGAACAGTGGAATGGGAAAGGGTTGCGAAGGAGGCTGCGAGGACAATCCCAGGAAGAGAAAACGGAGGAAACTGTGACATAAAGAACCTAAGCAGAGGCTCTAAAATATACCTTCCAGTGTTTGTAGAAGGGGCAAATTTAAGCACTGGTGATATGCATTTCTCGCAAGGTGATGGTGAGATCTCCTTCTGCGGTGCCATCGAGATGAGTGGATTTCTAGAACTCAAGTATGTACATAAGTTCCTCACTGCACTTCTTCCTGTGATTATACTCTTAATAAGGTTTTCTTTGATATTCCTTTTTTTTTGTGACTAAGACAATCTAACCAGATACCATATTGTAACTTATCAATAGGTGTGAAATCATAAGAAACGGGATGCAAGAGTACCTTACACCAATGGGACCAACCCCTCTCCATGTAAACCCGATCTTTGAGATAGGTCCAGTGGAACCGAGATTCTCAGAGTGGCTGGTCTTTGAGGGTATCAGTGTCGATGAGAGTGGGAGACAACACTACTTAGACGCAACAGTTGCTTACAAACGAGCAGTTCTCAACGCCATAGACTATCTCTTCAAATTCGGCTACTCAAAAGAACAGGTACTGGTCTCTGCAGCAACTGAACAAGCATGAAAACTGTAGAGAGAAAACTGATGAAGAAACTATGATGTGAACAGGTATACCTCTTACTCTCATGTTTCCCATGCGAAGGGAGAATATCTGGGATAGTCGATTCTCCAAATGCAGTTGCTACACTTGCAATACCCACTGCCATCTTTGATCAGGTTTGACATTTAAAAAAAAAAAACTTTTTTAGAGAAGCCAGAGTTTGCTCTGTTCTTGATAGCGAATAACTAAGGAAGGAAGGAACATGAAATGATTTCTTTATGTTCACGCAGGATATTCGGCCAAAGACTCGAAATGTTCCGGTAGGACCTCGAATACTGAGGAAACCAGACGTTCTGAAGAGCACATATGATGGAAAACTTGCAATCACAAAGAATCCAAATTCTTCCTCTTAGCTTCTACAACAAAAAAAAAAAGATCTAAAAGCTAATACCAAGACTGTAAAAATCAGGTATATGTTCCAGTAAATAATAAAGCAACTCAAGAAACCGGAAGGCAATGAGATGCTCCCTTAGTCACAAATGCACCATTTTCCATAGTAATCGCAGTAAATCTGGTAATCGACATAGCTTGATTTCAGTTTCTTGCAATTAAAATTAAAAAATTGAGCACATAATATAAGTAAGAGTGTATGATGATCCATAGAAGCTTTGAAGCCAGAACATTTAACACTAGATTCTTTCTTCTACCTAATATCTCCACAAACCAAACACTTCAAATACTAGAATCAATTGCGCTTGAACTCTGCTTCAAAGCACAGAGCTGCTGAACATGTTGATCGAATCAATATCATAGGTTCATAAAATTCACAGTGAATGGTCTCGGAAACTGGTTACTGCTACAAAATTATTTCAAAACAGAGGAACACAAAACGATACCCGGAATAATCTACGGTTACATGAGAAGATTGATTCGTTACCCAAACAGAGGTTTAAGGGATTCAAGATTCTGGGTTTCGCGAGAATCAATGCGTTTAGTTGAAATCCACTCGGAAACGGAAAATCCGAAGGAGATAACGAGAATTCAGGTACTGCCCACAAACCCGAAAGAGAGAAGAAGAGCAACAAAGGTCCATTGCTTTAAAACTCCTACGAAAGCGACAGCAACGAAATTATAATACACAAATATTACCAATTCGAGACGAGAAGACGCAAATAGGCGTAAAAGATTTCGGCCCGTATGACCCATTAGAAGGCCCAAAGGTACTGCATAACTAGTAATGTTTAATTAGGAGATCCGAGATATTGTATATGTATTGTTTTGATAATTAAACTAACTAATTGTTCCGCACCATACGCAGAAATCTAAAAAGGTTAAATAATTGAGGTTTAGAATTAAATTAGTTAAATTAGTTAAAGTATAGAATATAGTTAAATTAGTTAATATTAATCAAGACTTAGAATGTGGTTAAGAGTTTTAGAATTAAAATGCCAAATCCAAATAACATTCAAAGATACATTATACAAATTTAAGGATATAGAATTTAGGGTTAGACCTTAGGGTTTAGGGTTAGGGCTTAGGATTTAGGGTTAGAGTTTATTGCTTAAAGTATAGAATATATAAGTTAGTTTACTATGATGCAATAGATGAAATAGATGAATGGAGCCGAAAAATTTTCTCCCTCCAAATCTTATATATAATAGATGACCAATTCTCTCCATATGAGTGACACATCATTATTTTAAATTGATATGGAGATGACATGTGTCACTTTTATAATTTAAAGTTATAATTTATTTAAAAAAAAAATTTACTATCAAGTTTTAAAACACTCAAAGAATATGAACAATTTTTTCATTAATTGATTGATAGTGATTGATATTTATTGTAATTTTATATAATTCTTAACTTTTTTTAAGATATTATATTTTAAATTGATTTTTAATTCTTTTGGATAAAATTTTAGAATTATTTATAATAACATACTAATATACATCTCAAATAATGATTATATTTGTTTTTATATTTATGATATTGTATTTTAAATTAATTTTTAAGATTGTATTTTTATATATAAAATTTTTAAAATTGTTTATAATAACATACGAACACACATAACAAAAAAATAATTATATGTTTTTTATATAAGATTTGAAAATAGTAAAAAAGAAAAATCCGCACGTTATGTGCAGGTATTCACCTAGTATATTAAAAAGTTATCCAACCGATTAATGATGATATAAATTTTTTTAAAATTACTGGTTAAAAATATTTATTTTAACTAATAACATTTAAAATAAGTTTAGTTATGCAAAATTTAAAGTTTAGGATTAAATTAGTTAAATTAGTTACTTGAATATAGTTAATTTGTTGATAAATATCAATACTTAGAATGTGGTTAAGTGTTTTAAGATGCCGATAACATTCAAAAATATACATTTTAAGGATATAGGTTTAGGGTTTAGGGTTAGGACTTAGAGCTTAGGGTTTATGGCTTATGGCATAAGGTATAAAATGTAGTAGATGATGCAATAGATGAAATAGATAAATAGAGACGAGAAATTTCGCCTCCAAAGATATTAAAAGTTATCCAACCGATTAACGATGAATATAGAGTTTTTAAAATTAAAGTAATTAATTTATCTAATAAAATTCAAATTTAGTTTAGTTATACAAAATTTAAGATTTAGGAGATAATTAGTTAAATTAGTTAAAGTATATAATATATTTAAATTAGTTAATATATTAATAGAATACAGTTAAGTGTTTCAGAATTAAGATACCAAATAACATTCAAAAATATACAATTTAAGGATATAGAGTTTAGGGTTAGGTTTTAGGGCTCAGGGTTAGGGTTTAGGGCTTAGGGTTTAAGGTGTGGAATGTAGTTAAGTTAATTTACAAATAGATGATGAAATAGATGAATGGTGGTGAAAATTTTTCTCCCTCCAAAGATAATAAAAGTTATCTAACCGATTAACGATAAATATAGAGTTTTTAAAATTATTGGTTAAATTGTAAATAATTATCTAAAAATATTCAAAATAAGTTTAGTTATACAAAATTTAAAGTTTATGATTTATTAGTTAAATTAGTTAAAGTATAGAATATTTAATTAAATTAGTTAATAGGCTTATGGCATAAGGTATGGAATGCAGTTAAGTTAGTCTACAATAGATGATGCGATAGATGAAATAGATGATTGGAAGTGAGAATTTTTTTCCCTCTAAAAATAGTAAAAGTTATCCAAATAAATATAAAATTTTAAAATTACTGGTCAAAAAGTAAATAATTTATCTAATAACATTCAAAATAAGTTTAGTTATACAAAGTTTAGAATTAAATTAGTTAAAATATAGAATATACTTAAATTAGTTAATATTAATTAAGATTTAGAATGTTATTAAGTGTTTTAGAACTAAGGTGCCAAATAACATTCAAAAATATTAAAATTTAAGGATATTGGGTTTAGGGTTGGGGATTAGGATAATGTTTAGGATTTAGGGTTAGGGTCTAGGGCTTAAGGTATGGAATGTAGTCAAATTAGTTTACATTAATCTAGAGTTAGAATATAATGAGATATTGTATTTTTTATTTTTTATTGTATTTATTAAATATATTAATTTTTGTTGAGATTAATTCACGAATTTTGAAATATTTTAAAATAGTTTAATTAGTTTATTTTAATACATTTTACATAAATTTGGGAACTATATTACAGAAATTCAAATTCTTATTTTTTTTTTAGTATCCATGAAAATCAGGGTTAGTCATGATATATAAAGAGTTTTTTTTAATATTTAATTGATAATAAATTATAAAATTGCCAAATAACATTTAAAACTTGTTTAGTTAATATTAATCTAGTGATAGAATGATGTTACGTCTTTTAAAAATGAAGTAAAGAGAATTAGTTTGTTTGTGTTATTGTATTTATTCATAAAATTAAATTTTTATAAGGGTTATTTCAAATATTTGAGGTATTTTTGAAAATTTTAGTTATTCTTTTTAATACATATGTAATACTTATGTGGATATAAAAACTAGATCATAAAGGTTTAGGTTACTACTTGTCTTTAATATTTTTAATATCTATAAAGTTGAGATCTAAAAGTTATCTAATCGTCTAACGATGAATATAGAGTTTTTAAAATTATTAGTTAAATATAGCATTGGGAAAAAATGTGATGATACTACACGTCAGGGAATTAATGTAATGTAAATATAATGTATATTCAGTTGCAAACTTGCAATGCGGTGATGGGATATTGTCTAAATGATACTATAAAAAAATTTACATTTGGCTAATGTGATCAATATTTTTGCTAAAAGGTCTTTTGCTAATTTAAAATTTTGACGGTGCTAGGATCTAACCCTACATTGAGATTTTAATGGAAAACATTTAAAAACGCTAATTAATGTTAATCAAGATTTCCATATCTCTGCAACTGTTAACCATTTTTTTTACTAAACAATTGCTACGACTTGTAATGGAAAGAGAACAAACAATTTCGAGAGAGAATCGGAATTGAGGTTACTTGTGACGTCTGCTCATTCTCACATACATGCGTGGATGTGTATGGATGATGATGGTGATTTATGATGATCATGGTAATGATAATGATGACGGAATGGGCTTTGATTTGACAAGACGAGAGTCACGAAGAGGACGATGAGATATATTATTACTTAAATTCTTCTTATCGTCAGTACTCAGTAGACATCGCTCCATGTCTTTCTCTTTTATCATCCGTATCGAAAGACCAGTCGAAAGATTTATATGTATACTTACTTATTATTAGACACAATGCATATATTTATGTCTGGCATTTTTACGACTCCTAGTACAAGCATTACTCTGAAAAGTATTCTACAATGATTTATACAATTTTACTGTTCTATAATCTAACCGATTGTCTCACATAATAGCCTGATAAACGGCAAAAGGTTAAAAGTAAAAATAGAACGGCTTAAAGAGTTTTTCATATAGATCTAAACATCTAGTTATCGTTAATGATTATGGAAGATCTAAATTAGTACTTATATTTCTACAATATTTTAACAAACAAATTATTTCTACAATATAATTCACAGTTTATAACCAAAAAAAGTTCATCGTTTTTTTTGTTACTTTAGATAACTCAGTGGTTCAGCTGACATAATTTATGGATTTAATATATTAGTTGTTAAATAGCTCTTAAATTTGGAGTTCAACAAATTTTTTGCTTTATCCTATAATCTAAGTTGGAGCTGTTATATTAGTAAAATTTGCGAGTCTAAACATATTTTTAACAAGAAAAATTTTCGTTTAGATATTGTATTTATATTTAATTAGGTTTAAATAAACTATATTAATTCTATTTATTAAAACAAAGTTTTAAAAGTGAATATGTAAGTTGAACCCAGAAAAAAAAAGTGAATACGTATAATTCTTTGTGTTTTCCACTGATAGTGTAAAACTGCGTTTCTTACTTATAACAGAACTTCCACGTTTTTTCACCTATAAC